CCGCCGCGTACCTCGGCAGAGGGAATTGGGTCAACCAACTTGGAGTGTACTTCAGGTGTAGCTACCTATCTGCCCATCTTCCGACCCACACCCCCATTCTACCATTCTCCCTTCTTACCAAAAAAAAAAAAAAAAAAAGAATCCATCTCCTTTTCGCTCCTCGTTAACTGTGCGACGAACCGCCATCGATTCGACGGGGGATCCATCTCGAATCGAAACTTCTGCACCTCGTTTCGTGCCCTATCTTCTTCCACTACTCGCCCCACCTTTCGATTCGCGCGCGTGGCGAACTGCACGAACGATGATGTGTCCCAATTAGAAAGTACGAATTTCAATGTCGCGCGATGTCGGGCAACCAGATGGCGCGAAGCGCATAAACGTCTCGAAGCTTTAATTTCTTTCTTTTTTAAGATGGCGAGTCTTGCAATTTTTTTTCTTCCCTTCTTTTTTTTCTCTCGCACCTTTGGCGTTTCAAGTCAGCGGTTTCTTAAAAATCTTACCGATGCAGATGATCCTACGTATTAATAAAAGTTGGCACAGGTATCGAGATCGATTCGAGTGGAAAATAACGTGTATTAATCGGGGACGAAATCGAAACGATAAATCACAATGGAAACGATATTTGAATTTTGGAACGCAACTCTAGATTGAAAAAATAATATATATATAACGATTTTTATTTTTTTCTCGTTCAAAATTTTGTGGAGAAACGTGACTCCACAACGTGACAAGGATTAATCGTCGAGCGTGGTAAACGTCCTTTGGGGTTTGCGAATCCATGAACTGTTTACTGGAAATGGGCCATTCCTAAACTAAGCAGCCAGTTGTGCAGTTTTGAATCGATTAAGCGAAACTTGGATAATCGGGCAATAGTCGCGTAACGTGATAATCTCCAATCTTCTCACGAGACGAGAGTAATGAAGAGCCGGGTTCTTAAACAAAATAATAAGTAACGTACAATTTATTCTTTGGATTCTCGATTCTTGTTATCGAGCGTATTTGTGAGCATTTATGAATTTCGTTTCGCCAAGAAGAGAAGACGGGCCAAGGATACGGGAGGAGGAGGAGGAGGGAGCGCGTAACTGTTTCATGTTCCCCTTTCTTTACGGCTTTGTACGTTGAAATACTTAATAAAGCGGCGAGGAGAGAGGCGAAATAATGAATACGAATAGAGGGCGGCCGAGGATAAGTTGCCACTGTGAATAAAAGGGTTTTCCTGCAACCAGAGTGTAATTATAACACGCTCTTAGAGGATGCGCAGTAAGGGTAATATTTAAAGTATATGTAGGTCAGCCACTGACCTGTCTTATTGCCTCTCGAATCGTTTCAAATATTACAACTCTGAAAACGGATGGATCCTAAATACGAGGATTCCTTTTCCTTTCGAATCTTTTCGATTCGATCTTTCGTATCCTAATTTGATTAATTCAGCCTCGATTAAAACGGTCGAAATAGAAATTGATTGATTCTTCCATGATTGCAGGAAGCGTATAGAAAATGGGTGTGCAGCTCCCTGGTGCCTTACTTTGCTCATGGGGAACCGCAGGACTTGAACAGCTCCAACAGCTGGGCCGGAAGCAGACTCAGGCCCTGCCGATCCTTTTGCCAATCCGTGGAGCAACGTTGCCCTTACTTACTCCCGGGCGACCGTGCCCCCTCCTACCCCACGCAATACGCCGGTGAACCCACTTTCCTTTGCAGAGGTAACTCTCTAAAATTATCTCGACTCTTACCAGATACACACACACATTTTAATACACATTATTAACAATTATTGTAATACAAACTAAAAAAATATTAACATGATATTAAACCTTAAAAATTAATATTAACACAAGGGTAATAATATTTTTGGCACCCTTTTAATTCATCAACGAAGAAAGGAAGGAAGGAAGGAAGGAAGGGATGAAGGAAGGAAATGAAATCGAATGTAATAACCGAGAGAGTGCGTGGATGGGATGAAACGATAATTTTTAAGGGGATGATGATGATGATTTGGAAAAAAGAAAACGAAATGATTTCAGATCCAAATATACCCGAGACCGGAGAGCAGGCCGCAAGAGCGTTGCACAGCAACGAGGAAAACGAGTGTTGCTTCCATGCGTGTTCCGAGGAGTTGGCCGGATCGGGTATCTGCGCGAATTGCACGAATCAGGTACTACGGAGGCGCGGGAAGAATTACGATCCTCCAACGGCTCCCTATTGCGAGGTTAATTGCACTCAACCGGCTTCCACGGGTACGTTCCCTCAGCTTTCTCTTTTTTCTCGATATAATCCTTCCGAGTTTCTGCAAGAAAAAATAATATGGGATAACTCGACGCGTGTTATTCCAAAGGCGATTGTTTTATATAAAAAAAAAAAAAAAAACTTTGTATTGCTTGTTTGGATCAGGTGGAGGATACCAAGACACGGGATCCACGGATAGCGGTGGGAAGGAAGAAGAGAGATGCCCGTCGATGAATCCTGTGTCGGTGACGAATACGGTGCGGCTGAAGGGGACGTTGGTGTGCGGAACTGGGGGTGGCGTCGACTCGATCGCAAGCGTTTCCTCTTCCAATCGATCGGCGGCCTCGATCCTTCCGCAACTCTTNTGGCTATGCTCGATCTTGACCAGTATCCTTGGCAACGTTCGAACGATTCCCGTCCTCTGGATCTCGAAGATCTTTCTTTGGTCGATCATGCCCCTCGCTGGTATTCGTGGTGACGATTGTGATAGTGGTGGTAGTGGTGATGGTGGTGGTGGTGATGGTGATCGTGGACTCGATGGTGGATCGAACAAGAATAGGAGCGAACTGGTAAACTTTCTCGCCTGGCTGCGCCGTTGTTTTCGCAGAGTGGACTACTACTACGCGAGCGTGCCACGTTACATCGCGAACTGGTTGTACGGGAAGTGCGTGGTTGTGGAGCACAGGCGTCGAAGTTGGTGGTGTTGCTGCTGGTACTGGTGGTGGTGGAGGTGGTGGCGAAAAATATTCGGCCGCGCTCGATGGAAATGTCGACGAGCTCGGCATCGATCGCGCGAAAATATTCGTTACGGTCAATTCGCCGGTACGCGTCCCCCTCCCCCTATTACTCTCTCTACCGCATCGACTCGTGTCATTGCACCGGCCACAGCGACCGCCATCGCCACCAGCACCGCCACAACCACCGCCACAGCCACCGCCATCACCACCTCTGCCATCACCCTCGCCACCGCCCTCGCGGGGTGCCACGAGTCTTTTCCCCACTCGGTAAAAATGTATCGCGATTCATACCACGACCGTTCGTCAATATGGATACGGCAACGTTGGCCGCCCGATTTCCTCGTTGACTCGTTTACGGTTAAGTGTCCATGGCGGCGATGGAGTTGGTGGNGGTGGTGGTTGTATCGATGGTGGCGACGAACACGAGGCACGCGCCGCTGCCAAGCCGGGACGTCGCACGAGAAAAAGAATCGTCCTCGCGTCCCTCTTCGACGCGATCGAGGCGTTCGAGCATCCGATCGAAGGAGGAGGAGAAGAAGAAGAAGAAGAAGAAGAAGAAGAGGGAGAAGAGAGGGAAGGATAAGGGTTTTGAATAAAGTTTTCGAAGAGGACGTTCGATCTTCTCCGACTAGACGGCGATATTTTAAACTATCCTCGAGGAAAGATCCGCCATAGAACAATTCGAGGAAGACGCGAAAGCGTGAAATACAGGTTTTTTTCTATCCGTAACCAGAGCTCTCAGAGTCGAAAAGGACTTTGGCCGTATCTTTTTCGATTGTGAACTCCTCGAGATCTCAAGGTCTTGGAGCGAGGCAAAACGCGAAGAGACTAGCATCCGAGAAGGGGCACGTACGAGGCTTGAGAAAAGAAATTGAAGAAAAGAGTTAGAGGGGCGTTCGTTAAGTAGGGAGAAGAAAGCGAAAAATATTCGAAGAAACGGTGAAAAAGTACGTACGTACGGAGGAAAAATCGAAATACGATAAACGAAACGTGGTTAAAAGAAAAATGAGAATGTATTGAAAATTGTGCAATATGCAACGTGACGTAATTTTGGCGGGAGGGGGGAGGGGAGAGAGGAAACGAACGCGTAAAGAAGCGACGAAAAAAAAAGAGAGGGAAGCACGGGGATGAGACGTTTGAACGTTGAAAAAAAAAAAAAAAAAAA